AGGTATATAGTTTTAGGTAATCACGGTCATCCACTGGAACAAATAATCGAACTCGATAGACGACGGTGGTTGGGATGTGTTACACATGTCACCAAATAGGTTACTATGGTGAACGATGTTCGCCGATTCAGGCAGCGAATGGAAAGCGGTCAAGGATGGTCAAACTAAGATTTGGCATAATAGTATGAAAATGTTAACTAGGAGACTGACTGACATAGGTCTCATTAGGCTCCGTGGATGGGGGCTCCGAAACCATGGTAATCTGTGGTTAGAAACACTGAGTGTCGCTGGCAGTGGTGCTGGTGCATTTACTCATTATTCTTACGGCCCCAGTTTATATGAATTCTATATCTTCTCTTTCTTCTGCTCTCAACATTCTAATTTTCATTCCACTCTTTTATCGCCATGAACAGTCAAAAGACGACAACCCAAATCGTCACATAAAATTGCACGGTAATGTATATAAAAAGTGAAACTGATAACTAGCCTTACCTCGTAGTTTGAACACCCTTGACTTTTTTTGCACCCACAACCTGCCTCAGAAGCATCGCGCACTGTAGCAATCTATTTGAGTTGAGATTTTACAACCATTAACCATGTTCTTTCGTGCACTGGTTCTAGTTGCTGTCTTTTGTACGCCCATTTGGATGAGATAGCAGAATGAAGGTTGGGATTTTGAGAGCAAGTTCAAGAGGAAGATAGGGTATTCCTATGGACTGGGGTGACACGCGTAACATATGCCGCAATCAATGTAATCTATTGAAGTCAATCATTTGATCCATTGGGAGACCTCGATCACTGAAAACTCGGAGCTTAATCTCAGATTTGAGAAGAAGTCTTCAATCGTTTCACTGTCGGCGTTTTTCTCCATGATTTTCATTTCTAATATTCTGTGTGATATCTTTGATCTTCCTGATTCTTCATCAAGCGCTTATTGTGTCAATGCGGCTTTTGTTTTTACTTAGAATTCTGATGTCTCTTGATTTAAATGAACGCATAACGAAGATAGAGGCTCATGTTAACGAAACTCTTCGTGGAGACTTAAAGTAACCTGTTCACATGCATTGACTCGGTTCCATAGAAAAACCCTGGATGAGGGAGATCAATATTATGCGGAAATTTCTGATTACCTACAACTACGTAACCTGTTGGAGAAAATGAACGATTCCAAACTGGTACACGAAAACATGAAGACAATGGTTGACTTGGGTTGCAATGTGTATGCCAAAGCCGTCATGTAAGTAGTTAGTAAGCTCTTTTTGCTTGCATTTGTAGTCCTTCTCTCGATCGAATTTTCGTCGATATTGGCTTGGGATTTCACTTGGACTGCAATCGGGGTGAAGCACTGCAAATCATAGACTCGCGTATCGCTTTTCTAAACGAACGCACATTGGTTTATAAACAACGTGCAAACTCCATTAAAGCTCGAATCAAATTGTTACTCCAAGTGAGTTCATTCTTCTCCACCAATAACGGCTTTCTCATATTTTTAGGGTTTAAGAGAGCTACAGAACATACCCAGCACGGAATTCGGGCCACATCGTGATGTATGAAACGATTCATCACCGCTTCCCATGTATTTCAGTTTTGTAAATATTTATAAAGTTGTACTGTAAACACTTCGCTGCTATCGTAGAAAGCGTTTTATTCTTCATGGCGCCAGTTGGTTGTCAAGGGTGATACGATTGTTCTAAATGTATA